AAACGTTTCATTACCCAACAGGTAACATCTGCAGTGCTTCAACGTTTCTCCTTCGTAGTTCCTTGATTAGGGTATTGTTTACTGCTTGATTGTTTGTCTAGTGTTCCTGCTTATCTGGGCATTGATTGCTGACAAGGTGGTGTTCTGGTCTTTTTGTTTCCTTTTTTAGCTTTCTGTTGTCTCTTTTGAATGGTGTGTAAATGTTGCTTATCTCTATGTGCCTGTTGATGGCTGACTTGTCTGAATGCCAAGCTTCCAGGAATTTGTTCGTGTTTTTGGATTTAGCTTGGGTAGTGCCTTGAGTAGTAAGATGCTGATAGTTCCCCAGCTGAAACTACGGTTGAGTCTGTCCATGTGGTCTGAGATTAAAGAGTTTTCATCATGCCTTCTAACTGCTAGTTGATATTCATGGATGCACTCTGCTAGTTTTCTGTCTGTCTGAAAACAACACCCCCCTCCAACACTGACAGGTCAAGCTACTGTATATAAACAGAGAGCAAACCTCACTCCCTTCTAGCACTGAAGAGGTTACCCAGTCGGGTAACGAAATATCTGCAAGAAAACAACCAAGCTCAGAGAGCCCCAAGGACTCCACATTAAAGATACTGTAGCATAGTTCACACATTCTGTTAACTTCTTTCTTGGTATTGGTATGTAGACTGACCTCTTCTAATCTGTTGGCCCTCGTGTCATTCTCTAGACTTGCTCACATAGTTTGGTTAGAATCTTTATATATTCTTCTTCTGTTACTTGTCTTACTTCTGAGGATATTCCATAATTCCTGTAGCACCAGAGCGCTAATCTAATTTAATCTTTTAGGACTAGAGGTTCTTGTAAGTAGAGAATATCTTGTAAAGTGTCTTGGATGTTGATATCTCTACTATACAAAATTTCAGTATGCTCCTTCCATCTTTATTTGATCTTCTTTGAATCATTCACTGTCTATTGGCATCTGTTAGCATACCAATTCAAGGTTGGAACCTCCTTCCATGTTCAGAGATCTTCTGGAAAACTTTCCTTGTTTTTCTGTGTCTGTTTCCATCTTCAATATTTACAGATGTCATTGTAATACTGCTTCTTGTTTCTTTTAACAATTCTATGAGATTCTTGGTAAAGTTCCTTCCTGAAATCTTTGTCTTTTTTGTCTTTAATTTCTCATCTTTTTTGGATTTGGCTTTTCTCCTCTTCTGGCCAATTTCTACTGTTTTTTCTGACATCCAGTTTGCTTTCTTCTTCTTTTTTAAATCTTTGGCAGGCTCTTCACATTCATTCTTAACTTCTTTAAATTCATTCCATAGTTTTTCTGGTTCCCTATCAATGAGATTCAGGACTTCAAAGCGATTTCTGATGTTCTCCTTGAAAATGGTGGGTATATGTTCATATGGTAGAAACTTCCACTTTAGCTTGACTTGGAATTTGCGCATAAGTCATTTCTGATCTCTTCCACAGGGGCTGCCCTGGCCACATCTTTGTTATTATAACTGAGCTCTTCCACTTCCTTGTATTAATAACATGGTCAGTTTGGTTTCTGTGGACTCCGTCTGGTGATGTCTATGTACATAGGTGACATTTTGTTTGTTGGAAGACTGTGTTAGCAATGAAGAAAGCACTGGATTGACAGAAATTGATAAGTTGTTCTCTTGCTTCATGTTGGTTTCTTAGGCCCTACATTTTTCTCCTTAATGTTTCTAACTTTGGCATACCAGTCAATGTTTCTAACTTTGGCATACCAGTCTCCAACCAATAGGTGACATTTTGTTTGTTGGAAGACTGTGTTAGCAATGAAGAAAGCACTGGATTGACAGAAATTGATAAGTTGTTCTCTTGCTTCATGTTGGTTTCTTAGGCCCTACATTTTTCTCCTTAATGTTTCTAACTTTGGCATACCAGTCTCCAACCACAAGCAGCACATCTCGCTTGCAAGTTCTGTCGATTTCAGACTGAACTTGACCATGAAACTCATCAGTGCCCTCTTCTTCTGCATCAGTGGTCGGAGCGTGAACTGAGATAATCATATTAGAGGGCTCTCCACAGTCCAATTGATATTATTTAGTCACTGACTCCACCCAAACATTGTCCTTGCTATATCCTTCCTGACTATAAAAGCAATGCTTTTTCTTCCTTGTTTTTCGTGCCTTGAGTAGTAAACAATATGATCTTCTGACTGAGAGTGTCCAATTTTAGTCCATTTCAATTTGATGGTGCC